TTATAAAATCGAAAGATTAATCTAATTGAAAATCATGATCGTCCAATTAATAATAAATTCGATTATATACGAAGAGTATCGTTTCGCACCACTATCTTGCTCGAGTGTCGCCGTGTGAATGATACGAAGACCGCGGAATGTAAACATTAGCGCGCTATTGTATACGCCGTCGAGGCCAGACATTGTATTATTGTCTGTTCGAAATATTTTACGTATTTTGACGAATATATACGCGAAATATTTTGAAGTATAGAAATTTAGATTTTAACTGATATAGATTAATTATATGATTATTTATTGGATCACTTTTATTATGTTAAATATATATTTATATTTACGATTCGATCGTTTTACTGCACGATCTCAATTTGAATTACATTTAAATCCGAGTTTTTGTGAAATATTTTATAAAATATTGAACTATCTTGAAATATCAATTAACACGAAAAATATTTTATTATATTATTTGGAATATTTTAAAATAAAAACTGAAATATTTTTTATATATGCGTTATATGTTAGATGATAATTAAGAATAAATTCGAAAAGATGAAAAAGGAAGAGGCAATAGTCTAAAAGTAATATGAATGATAAATAATTTATAAATGACTTACATTTTATATTTCGTTGCTCCGTATGTGTTGTTCGATGCTTTTCTCCCTTTTCTCTCTTTTTCGTTTTTTGCTTCTTCTTCGTAGCACTCACATTCACTTCTGAAAATACGAATAATAATAATTAATTATATATGGAACGATCGCGAGGCACTTTGTACGACACTCCCGATCGCGATTAATAATAAATTCGATAATATACGAAGAGTATCGTTTCGCATCACTATCTTGTTCGAGTATTGCCGTGTGAATGAACCAAGACCGCGGAATGTAAACATTAGCACGCTATTATATACGCCGTCAAGACTAAACACTGTGTTATTGTCTGTTCGAAATATTTTACGTGCTTTGACAAATATATACGTGAAATTATAAAATCGAAAGATTAATCTAATTGAAAATCATGATAATCGTCCAATTAATAATAAATTCGATAACTTTGTACGACACTCCCGATCGCGGAATAATTACATGAGAAACGCACTTTTTAACATATCGTAAGAAACAGAAGACACGAGAGAAGTACTATTTTCGTTGATATGAAGTTTCTATGAAGTTTCAAATTCATGCACTACTCATTACAATGCTCCGTTTTATTAATATTATATTAACACGAATTATAAAATCGAAAGATTAATCTAATTGAAAATCATGATCGTCCAATTAATAATAAATTCGATTATATACGAAGAGTATCGTTTCGCACCACTATCTTGCTCGAGTGTCGCCGTGTGAATGATACGAAGACCGCGGAATGTAAACATTAGCGCGCTATTGTATACGCCGTCGAGGCCAGACATTGTCTGTTCGAAATATTTTACGTATTTTGAGAATATATACGGAAATATTTTGAAGTATAGAAATTTAGATTTTAACTGATATAGATTAATTATATGATTATTTATTGGATCACTTTTATTATGTTAAATATATATTTTATTTACGATCGATCATTTTCTGCCGATCTCTTGAATTAATTTAAATATCGAAAATAAAGGTCACGTATTTATATTTAACATTAAGCGGGGAAGTAACAGAGGTGAAGGCCTACAAGAGGGGGAGGTTCACGCAATTTTGGTAATTTTCTTCGAATAGTAACAAATTTACGGTCTATGTATATTGCTTTGTTATTTCACAATAATAATTATTTAACAACGTAAAATTTCTATTTATTTTGTTTAAAATAGTTAGGTTCACCTCTTCGTTGCTCCTCATACTTTAATCCTACCTGTATGTAAAATGTTGTGTTAAACGTACTTTGCGATATCCTATAACAATGTGTATTTGCTGTGCAAACTTTGCAAACTAAGAGTACTCGCAGCACTTGGAAATACATGTTCGCGCAGCTGCCTCGTGTTATTACATCCACCACGGTAAAATAAAGTACATTTGCAAAAATTCACTTCCGTCACGCTTTCCGTCAGAAGAATGACCAATTGATCTTTGTTACCTGATAAAAGTTTAAAGAATCCGCTATGCATTTCCGTTCTCGATTCGCGTAATTAAATTTTCACGAATCGATCGCTCATCAGGACCTCTTCGTCTCATGACATTTCGCGAAATTACATCGAAATGTCGATGACCCTGTCGTTTCTCGCATTACAGAGAAGGAAAGTAAGAGAGGCACGTTCCGGAGACGATAGAAATCGAGCACCTACTTTATATTCGCCATTCGAAACTGGATCAGATACAGGACGATTTAGGTAAATGTCTCGACTGAATCCGACCCACGCTTTCTTGGATAACGCTCAGACTTTACGTTGTCCCGCGCGCGTTTTCCATTCTTTTATTTTACGGATTTATCCCGCACGTAGTAAAGCCTTCTTCTTAAGCGTAGCTGCGCATCACTTACCTTACGCATCTGAAGATCTGTAGATATTTATCGTATGGTTTTATAATGGATGTTATTGCATGTACAAACAAAGAGATTTTAATTCTTCCGCGTTGCGGTTGGACAGAGATTGAAAATAATTTTCAAACGATATTTTTCTTCGACAAACATGGGCACAACATAACAGAATACGCAATAAGCTTGCGTAGAATTAAGTAGACGCTAAACGTATGTGAAGTTATCGATTGCAGAATGGAAAGTATGAAGGTGCCTCCTCAAGATTCGAACGATAGATTTTGCGAAATGAATTATTACGTTTGCACGTAGTGCAACGTACAATTATCGCCTTGGGCAATTTGTCTGTTTCATTGTACTCTTTCTATCCTTTACTTTATATCAACCACTCGAATCGACGGTGTTAGCTTAAAAATATTCATACGCTCGAGGCTGTTTTATGTACGAGCGTTTTTTCTTCTTGTTCTATTTTGTTTTGTTTTTCTTTTATACATGTTTTATTTATATAACGATTGTTTTAGTTGCTTCGATAATGCTTTCGTAAAAGAAATCCCGTATGAAAAAGATTCTATTTTTCAATATTAATATAAAAATAAACGAGTTTTTTTCTGAATTTAAAAAAGATCGATTGATGCCGATCTTTGATGTAGATGCATAATTACCAGATGTCTGCTTCCATCGCGATACTATCCAAACGCAAATTTGTCCTCTATCCACAGTATATATCCCCAACAATTGCCACTTTTATTCTCTCCCGAGAGAAGGTGAGATGGTAATACGCGACATAGAAAAAGAAAAAAAAAGAAAGAGGCGAGCAGCTTCATCCAGCGCAGCCGGGCGGAAAATAGCTAATATTCTAAGGCATCGGCGACATTGCGAGCGAGATGGGGGGCCTTTAACTGACGACCTGTGTATATCTATATATATGTATATATGTACTTGAGAGCGCAAGCTGTTCCCCTTCTGCGTTTTCCTCTGTGCAGCCGCTTATGTTCGTGAAAGCTCCAAAATCTACGAACGATAAAAGACGGCAATCCCGTTCGCGAGAGCGCGTTCTGACATTTCAATCTGATTCAAGTCCACGAAATAAGGAAAAAAGTGCGTCAGTATCTCTTTTTCTATACCAGGTCGCCACCTACAAATATATAATGTCCGGGTGAGTGTCAACAAAAGAGTCCTGATAAGCTTTTATTCATCAAAGCTTAAAATCTTTTCATCTCGCAACAGAATATGAACTTAATGTGACGAAATTAATTAGACATCTGATATAATTTGAAATTTTGCAAAAAATTAATATACCGTGTATTTTTCATTTTTTAAATTACAATTATTATTAATGTATAATATTATTAATGTATAATACTATAAAAATAAAACATTGTTTTGCGAATTATTGAATTTTAATTATAAGAAATAATAATGTTAGTAAAAGTTGATTTATACCAGCTTTGATCGTTGGCCAATCAATAGCATGTATAATTAATAAAATACTGTTGGTCACAGTAGACATATAATTTAAGGAAAAAATGCAATAACGCGCGCGCATGAACTTATATACGGTTATGAACTTGGTTCACTGCTAATAAGCTTGTTTCATGGTTCGTTACAAGATATTATGTTGACATATTTCATTACATAAATATCGTAGCATATACAACCTGATCTTTCATTTCTTTTTAATAAAAAATTTAATGAGTTTTCTTATAGATGAATCGGATATCGCGTTTTCTTTTTTTTTGTGTTAAAATATAGTTTTAAAATATATTCTATGCAAAAAAAGAATTCTCTTTGAATAAAATAAAATAAAATAAATTTGTTGATCTTTTGTAAAATAATAAATAGTTAATTTTATTAATAGTAAAAATTATCACTTTCCATTAAATTATTCGTAATAATATTAATTTTAAAAATGCGCTTGTTCTATAAGGAAAATACGTATCACAACAATGATACGTATCTTCTTATTACTGTATTCAACACTGTATTTATGATATGATTTCCTGTATTGTTGAAGCATGTCATCAATTAAGCAATATAGACAAATTGAAATGATCGAATAAATAAATTTTATTGTTGTATATTTTGTATCCTATCTTATATTGCTATTATTTTTGTTAATAATTAATGCCTATCTTGTGCATATGACTTTGACAAATTCGTTTTAATTTCCGTTTCTCAATAAAATATTCTTAATATTACAACAATGATAAAGTACTAAATCATAAATCTGTCCGCATTTGAAGGTCGATTGATGACAACGGATATTTCTTTCTCAATCTACAGTATCTTATATACTCATGTACACGTATCCGTTTCGAACAAACAATTGTTATTGTAAAAACGATGAGCGACTATGACATCTGTAGAAATAAAGTTTGTCTGTCACAATTAAAAAAAGTATCATCCGTCCGAGTGGCAATATAATCGATAACATTTTTAAGAAAAACGAATTGCATGAAATAACGGAAATACAACTACTTATGTTTTCACAATTGCGATCTGGAGTATAAAATGGTCGAATTATCTTTTGCAATCGCCAGTATTCCCAAGTATAAGGAAACATGAAGATTATTATTTTGCTGGCGATTGCCGTATCATGGGCAGTCGCCTTTCCTAGCGGTTTAGGTGGTCTTTTAGGTGGCTTACCTATTCTAAATATATTCGGTGGCGGCGGAAGTTGCACAGGTGGTGCACATAAGGATAATTCACTGGTATGTTTAAACAATTCTTTCTATCACTTTTACAAATAGAATAAATAATAATAATACGTGCATGTCTAATGCAAATTATATAATATATAACATATTGTATTCATATTCTTGAATGTAAAAAATCGAAAAAAGTTATATTAAATTTTACAATAATTAAACACTTATGACTATGAAATTATAGATATCGATATCAGCTAACATTTTGGATAGAGGAAAAGGAGGCAGTGGAGGAGGTAATGGAGGAGCTGGAATAGGAGGAATTGGAGGAACAGGAAATACTGGAGGAGGTAATAATGGAGGAGGAAATACTGGAACAAGTGGCAATGGAGGAGGAAATACTGGAACAAGTGGCAATGGAGGAGGAAATACTGGAACAAATGGCAATGGAGGAGGAAATACTGGAACAAGTGGCAATGGAGCAGGAAATAGTGGAGGAGATGGTAATGAAGGAGGAAGTACTGGAGACGGTGGTAATGAAGGAGAAAATACTGGAGGAAATGATGGAGGAAATGGTGGAGGAAATGGTGGAGCAAATAATGGAGGAAGTACTGGAGAAGGTGATAATGGAAATTCTGGAAAATGTCATAATGAAGGAGGAAATACCGGAAGAGATGGCAATGAAGCTGGAAATACTGGAAATGATAATGAAACAGGAAATAATGGAAGAAGTGGTAATGGAGCAGAATATGCTGGTGGTTCAGGTAGAACAATAAGCAGTAGTATATCGAGTGCAAGTGGCAGAGCTTCCAACGTAATTAACACCTGGTCCAGCAAAAATGGAGCATCATCAAGTGCAGCTTCTTCGGCTTTTGCGCAAAGTAAAGCTGGCGCCGGCAATAGTGGTTCCAGCGCAGCAGCGACTGCAAATGCTGTAGCATCGGCAATATCGAGCAGTAATTCCGGTCATAAAAAATCAATAGATGACAACGAAAACGATGAAAATGAAAAATCTGGAAAGAATGATAATGGTAAAGGACAATCCAAAGCGTCAGCGAGCGCTCAAGCGAATGCTGCAGCGGAATCAGAGAGCAATGGTAAAGAAGGAAATAGTAAATCCAGTGCAGCAGCGAATGCAAATGCTAGTGCCGCAGCGGAATCACGAAACAGAAAACGTAATAAAGGTAAAAAATCGAGCAATTCGGAAGAGGATTCGGAAGAAGATGGATCAGAGGATGATGGAAAAGAAAAATCAAATGCGTCAGCAGAAGGAAGGAGCAACGCTGAGTCAAACAGCAACGGTAATAAAGATTCGTCAAGCGCATCCGCGGGCGCAAATGCAAACGCATCCGCGGAATCAGATAAAAATGGTAAATCTGAAAGTTCTTCGGACGCTTCTGCGAATGCTAACGCATCTGCAGATTCGGATGAAACAGATTCCGGAGAAAATTCATCCAACGCATCAGCAAGTGCAGATGCCGAAGCATCCGCTAACTCTAAGGGCAAAGGAAAAGGATCGAACGCATCGGCCAGTGCAGATGCCGAGGCATCGGCTGAATCGGAAGGTAAAAGTGGATCGGAAAAAGGTTCATCGGGAGCATCGGCAAATGCAAATGCAAATGCTGAGGCATCTTCACAATCGAAGGGAAAAGATAAATCTGAAAAAGATTCATCAAGTGCGTCAGCGGACGCAGACGCTGAAGCGTCCGCAGAATCTGATGGAAAAGATAGTTCCGGAAAAGGTTCGTCAAATGCATCAGCGAGTGCAGATGCAGAATCATCGGCTGATTCAGAAGAGGAGAGCAAAGGATCATCAGATGCATCAGTCAGTGCAGACGCAAGTGCAGCTGCAGAATCAGAGAGCGATGGTAAATCCGGGAAAGGATCATCGAGTGCGTCATCTAACGCAAATGCAAGCGCGTCTGCGAAATCCGGAGGGAAGGGAAAATCCGGAGGAAAGAGAAGATCCGGAGCTTCGTCGGCCTCGGCTGCCGCAACCGCATCTGCGGAATCCGGAGGCAAAGGAAAGAGCATCTCGAGTGCCTCGTCCTACGCCGAATCCTCTGCATCCGGCTCGAAAGATGACGACTCTAACGATACAGCAGCGAGCGCATTTGCGAGTGCGAATAGCGCAGCATCCGCAGCAGGAGATAAAGCCAGTGCATTTGCGGGAGCCGCTGCGAATTCAAAAGCAGGTACGATAACGCTGTAACGGAAATAATCATGTATAAACAGATATTCGCATTCGAGGATAAATCAATTTCGTGAATTTTCCACAGCATATATGTATCTCAATTTTTATATAATTAACTAAAATTGTTGTAAATTTAATGATATTTTTCGCGTTATTATTTCATTATTTAATAATGAAAATTTAATAATGATAAAATTTCATTCATTTACTATATTATATGTACATATCGTATATGGAAAAATTATTTGTGTAACAAAATACACATATTCTTGCATTAATACATTAATTATTTGAGTGTAGTTTTAAACGTTATTAAAATGAACCTGCACATAATACAGAATATTAATGTAGAATGTTTTTTGAAAGCCATTACTAAATTAATGGAATTTAAAATAAAATAAATTTAACTTATAATTATATTTATAATTATATTTATAATATTTTTTGCTCATGCACGCAATTGCATGTTTTAAATTAGATTTATTTTATTATAAATTATTTATTTATAAAATATAAATTATATATATAATATTAATTATTATTATAAGTGATATTTTCATAACTATTTATTATCAACTATAAAAAATTAAGTGATAATGTATGAACAAATTTTGCAATACAGGAAATGTGTACAATACAGAGAATTATTCATGCTTTAATTATGTCGCTTTAATAATGATCTTAATGCAATTGTCAAAATTTGCATAGAATAATACAATAAAAACAATTGCATTGATAAATTTAATAAATACCACATATAATCAATAATTACGCATGCATATCATAAATCGTTCACTATATACATTTTCACGAAAGAAATTGTTACTTTTTTATTTGAAGAATGTAATTATTCATATATGATATATTGTATTCCAACAACTCTGTAGATCATGCTATTATATATATAGCAAAGTAATTTGTACTGCTCGACATATTCGCGAGTTATGATATCCAAGTTCCACGAACAAATTCTAGGCTTACAAGCAGATCGGCAGGTAAGGTAATGACGTTATACCGAGTTTACTCTCGTACTTTAGAGTTCTGTAATTCGCAATTGAGACATCGAAATACTAGTAGCTTATTCCCTAAAGTGCTCGTGTCTCATCTACTGGATACACCAAGTTTACTCTTGTACTTTGGAAATCCATGAATTTGTGATATGGTCAATACGTGGAACGGTATTGTCTGAAACACACTGGCAAAGTTAGTTTAGATTATTAATTTTTGCGTCATAAAGTAAAATACAGAATATACATGTTTGCCAATAGTGTAAGGTGCACTTGTGCACTATTCGACATGATTTACCAGTTTTATTCGAATTACGTTTTAATTTTATCCTTTAAAATCAATAATTTCAATCAATTAATAATCTCAAAAATTATTTATCATAACAAAAAAAATTTATCATATAATATCATATAATGAGACTCAATAAATACAGTTTCTAATAATGTTATATAACTTTCGCATGTTTGGATATATGACGTACATATGACTTATATATAGACATCTAGCACAGTGAATGAGCTCGATGCATTTGCTTGTACTGAAACGACATCAAAAACGATAGACGGAGGAGAGGAGGAAAGGACGGGCACAGGTAGAGAGAAATGGGTAGAGGAAGAAGCGGAAGTTGGGCATTTTCTGACGAGTTGCGTCGCAGACATAATGCCATTATACTTGTCACACTCACACGTCGAAACTTCCGAGCGAGTCCAATATATTCACCGATACTTCCCGAAGCGGGAGATATGCGCGTTCGTAGGTAAATCCAATATCGCTGACATGAGCTGTCTCGGCGCGTACTGCCATGCTTTAAAAAGCATCGGCGCCAAATCGTATCTCCTTCATTCCTTGTTGGCCCTTGTACACGTCAGATGAGTATGGAGAACAGGGTAACATGATGACGAGAGAAGCCTGTCCGCGACTAAGCGCACGTGGAGCAGGTTGTTCTTTCTCTCTCTTTTTTCCTCCTCCTTTTTCTCCCCTTCTCTCTCTCTCTCTCTCTCTCTCTCTCTCTCTCTCTCTCTTTTTGTCTCTCACCCAATATGACCGCTTTACTAAAACAAGCTCATTCAGTGAGCGCCCACTTTCAGACTACATCATCATGATGTAAAGTACTTAATAGAACGGCCAATGTATCTGTGTTACTGGCAGAGTTGGTAATTTTAATAGAACATTACATAATTTCAATATGAAACGCATCTACTAAAACAGAAGACATGCTTCAAATTTTATAATCATCAGCAATAAAAGAAATATTCGTCTAGGGTCTTCTATATTTTCAAAATATAAATAAAATTAAATAAGATAATTCTGATTATTGTTAATCAAAGTATTAGCAATATGCTGCGTATCGTTATAAACGGGCGTTAAATTTTGATACAAAGAACGTAATGCATTCTCCCAGCATTTATATCACGCGTGTCGATTGTCAGAATGTTAAATGGTAACGAAGCGTTATCATAGACAATCTTTATCAGCTCCCAACATCACACACTCTATATAGGAAGCACTCTCTGCGGTGATGTCCAATTACGTTTCACCGGATATAAATCATCGGAAACATTGCGCTCACCGACGTTTGCTGGACACCATGTATTTATAGCGCTTAGTGCACAGTGATAGCTTTACAACGAGATACATATTTATAAGCTGTCGGACACCAAACATGTTTACGTGTTTTTTTTATACACCTAGTACATTGTGTAGAAAAATAAATGTACCTGAAAAAGTAGCTAAAATTAATAATTATGTAACATATTTTAATCGTTTCGAAATTTTTACTTCATGCTACTCCAAGTTTCTCTTAAATCATTATTCAAATAGAATATCTTAATATCAAGTCTTTTGATCTACGAAAGATCATTAGTTTAATTCGAAAGTTGAAATTTTAATCCTTGCATAAAGAGCTGAAATTAGAGCTTCAAAAGAGTGCGGATTTAAAAATGAAATACACGAAGTGTAACGAAGGTGAATTGTTCACGTAACGATCGACCAATATTATGCGCCACAATGAGGGTACGCTTTTTTCTCGTGTCCATCAGGCGTCGATTGGTTTAAATCACGATCCATCGCGACTCGCTAACGTGCGGCCGCGCACGCGGTCATCGCGGTGTCGGCAAATTACAGACTTCGTTAGAATCCCCGTTATCTCGATACCTCATCTCACCGCAGGAATTATAAAAACAATTCAGATTTATACCTTACGGCTTATCATGCCGGAGAAAGTTATCTACGTGCGCACGGCACGAGTGCGGCCCGAGCGCCGTTACTCGCTTCGTTCGTTCATTGCAGAGAGACCGGGGCCCGATAAATCTCGGCGAAGAATGGTTTTGTTTCCACTAAAGATTACAGACGCTCGATAAAAAATCATTGTACGAGAGAAAATCGAGGGAGTCCCGATTATCGTGAGAATGAAATTGCGCGCGCGCATCTCTCTCCGTAATAGTAGTTACTTTGGCCCGTCGACGTCTATGATTTCTCATTGAACCGTATATTAAGGATAATGCCCACACAGTGATTGAAATCACATTGAATAAGAGGAAAAGTTACACGATTCTCCGATCGGAGGAAGTTAATGCAATAATACACGGAAAATTTCTCTTCTCTTTTTGTGTAGGTATTCGCAGCGTATCTAATTTTCACGTGTGTGTGCTTTTTCCTTTTTATTCTTGCAAATAAATTCAAACTCAACACAGTTTCTCTTCAATTTTAATAATCGTGATTTTCTGACTGAGAAATAAAATTCGTTAATATATATTAAGACTAAAAATTAATACGTTACATTTAATTACATTAATTATATTCCATTATCATTACAATTTCTCTGGTAATTATAACGAAAATGTTAAACAATATCATGATAGACTACAGAAAAGACTGCATTAAATAATTAAAACAAAATTACAATTTTGACAAGTTTATTTTTTGATTCTCTTTTATAAAAAATTCAGTTTCGAATATGAGTAATTTTTCAACCTTAACATATATCCGTTATAATATTGTTAATATATGAGATAAAAGGGTGAGAAAAAGATGTAAAAAAGAGAAATGGAATTAAAGAAGGATCCGAGGAACGGACGGAGAGCGGACAGCTTAATAATTTATTTAGCCCCGCGAAAATCGTAATCTCCGAGATATTCAGGATCCAAGACTGATCACAGACGTAGCCGCAACCGTGCCCCTTCGGAATCGCGGCAATTATAACTGTATGCGCCGCAACGAGTGGATATACTCGGGTATAAAATACTCGCGCGTGTAGTACGTATGCTCGTACGTGCTGTTACGAGAGGCATCGCATTTGCCGTGGCTCGTATTACTCGAAAATATCCACTAACGAGTGACTTTAATCGACAGGGCATCTCTCGAAAGATACACGCGTATTAATAATTTTAATAAAATCCCGCCGATCTCATTAACGCGGCATCGTCGATCGCATTCGCGCGCATCAGCGCACGAGATTCATCTGACGTAACGTCCATTGCCAAATTACGTCGTCGTTACGACCTCAATTAACGGCCGAGGCTTATATACATGTGTAAAAGCAGGCGCGTAATTTTTAAATCGCTGATTGTGCGAGGGAAAAAACGCGAAAATAAAAAGAACGTGTGCGTTGTGTAAGAGGCGCTATGCAAAAAAGAGATTCGTGCACTCACCAAGTCATAATATAACGCGGTCGCATAACATATCGTGGTACACATACATGCATACGTACAAGGCGAGTCTGAAATATATATCGTACGCCCCGATGACCGGTACCGCGCGCGGAACAGGAGGACGGGAACGAGGATGAAGAGGACAACCCACGCGCCTCAATAACGATCACGATGCGCCCGTTGCCGCTCTAGCCCCGAGCAACGCGAGTAGGAAGACAATGGCCGTAAATACTGGATGCGAGATGCTCGTCATCGTGCGGGGAAGCGAGGCATAATTCACAATGGATGTATCTCTTTAAATCGCGCGAAAGCGTAAAAGCTCATCGTTCGCCGATGCGCTATCTCGCTATGAGCCTGAACTTTGCCCGTTTCACCAAGGCTGCGCGATCAAACGTGATTTTTCCGCGGATTACACGTGTGCCCGCTATTTCGAAAGCGATCCTCCGAAAATGCA